GGGCTTCATGGTACATTTGTAGGGAAAGGATTCTATACTTCCCCTACATATATGCTTCCCTCCCATTCAGACGTCAAATTTTAGATCAAGTGAGCCACACACCGTTTGATTTAAATATGATGCCTCAAAATATTTTATTTTTAGTTTTTTTTTACAATTTATATGAATATGAAATTTGGTACGTGTCATCTTCTCATTGAGACACACCTATATAAATATTTTTTAAAAAAATTGATAAAATATAATAACAAAAAAAATATGACATTATTATTGAGGCCATCTCAACCGTTTATTTAGAATGGACGGTTGGATAAAGAGAATAATATAATTTTATGATTTAGGAGAAGCATAAAAAGCTTGCCCGATTTTGTTTGCTACACCCTAATTTTCTAAGGCCAGCCTCATCGGACCGGGCCACCCAGCCATTACTACTCCTAGTTAAAAAGTAGAGAGAGGCAGAGAGAGGGAAAAAGCACTAATTTTATATGACAAAGGGCGAGGCAGTTTAATCTCCCGAGGAGGGAGAGATCTATTTCGCAACATCACATCATCCATCTCATTCGACTTTCTTGTCTAATAAAACTTTGACGAATATCCATCCCACAATAAACTTCGAAAAATTAACAAGAAAAACTGGGAAACTCGAGTACTCATAAATATCGAAATAACAGGCGCGTACAGGTGTTGGCCCTCGATACTTCATTGTGTACTCATCAAAAGAAGTAGAACGTATTCGTTCTCTGTTAAAGAGTGTACAACCATTGGCAAATATCACGTGGGATAATCTCCTATATTTTTTTGGGTGCGGTTTGTATAGAGCCTAGGCATTAAACGATCAAATTAGAACCTACTTTCAAATAGCGTCAAAAAATATGGTTTCAATATTAAAATTTTTTTTGGTAGTTTTAAAATATATTTTCATCTTTATTTATAAAGTTTGAAGCTTCAAAAATAATATAGATCGAGAGATCTATTAAAACTTGAAATTTGACGGTCCAAAAGTGTTACAAAATACTATATTTCCAAAACTTGAAATCCATTTTTTTATCATGTCCATGCATCTTGATATTGAGATGATGAATTTGAGGATATTTGAGCATAAAAACAATATATTCTAGTGAAAATTTTGAGGTAGGCTCGAATTTGATTGTTTAGAGCCTCGGCTCTATATATAAACTTTTCCCATATTTTTTTATGAGAAAATAATTATACAAAGGAATAGTTTATAAAGAGCCAAAGCTCTAAACAATCAAATTAGAGCCCACCTCAAAAATTTCAGATTGTTTTGATGCCTAAATATCCTCAAATTGATCATCTTAACATCAAGATGCATAAACATGAGAAAAAAAATATAGATTTCAAGCTTTGAAAATAGTGCATCTTGTAACTCATTTTGGACCATTAATTTTCAAGATTTTTAAGTTTTCATAGATCTACCAAATCGATACTAATTTTTAAAGCTTTGAATTTTATAATTAAAGATAAAAATATATTTTAAAGCTATCATAAATTTCTTTAACATTGAAACCACATTTCTCGATACTATTTGAGGTACGTTCTACTTTGATTGTAACCACATTTCTCGATACCACATCACTGGGAAACAACAAGCGGTTGGAGATGTTGAACCTCGGACCGATTATTCTCCCCATCTTAGTGCGAGAACAAGCATTTTGAGATTCCAAATGTCGGACCGATACCTTACACATTTACCACAACACAACTTGGGCAATTGATCCATATTTAGGGCTGTCTGATATTTGGAATATGGGGAATCCTTAGATATCACTCCCCACAAATTTGAGAGCCCTATGGTTTGAAAAAAAGGCAAATAACAAAAATAATATATAAATTGTTCTAATATTGCTAATATCCGACCAAAGTATAACTTAAAAGGAAAAAAAAAAAAAGGCATTGTGTTTATGTGTAAGTTTCACAAAAATTTGAACGAAAATGTGGAAAATATAAAATAAAGGGTTATGGATGTAATTATTCTTTAAACGTTTACCATTAGATCTTACTATCTTGTAAATTACCACTATCTAATATTGTAATCCTAAAAGGGTTTAGAGTTGTGGTGGTACACCCCTACAACCACATTGTGGTTTATATTCTCACTACTAACACCATTCCACTTAATACTTTAAAAAAAACTAAACTACTTAACATTTTAGAAAAAACTAACTCCTAATCTACTTGAAATTACATGTAAGGGCTTGTCTTCCCGAGAATGAAGTAACAAAAAAGAAAAATAGCTTGATTCTACATTTGTATATGCAATCGAAAAACCTTTTTCATTTGAGATATGTTGTTGGTTTCAAAAGCTTTTAAAATTGAACCCAAAATTTGGGTCCTAAGACGCACCTAAATTGGAGTTCACCGAGGGAGGAAATGAAAATATGGCATGCTCAGGAAGGAACACCAAGTCTTTTCACAACCTAAAATAAAAAGTTTGAGACCAGGAAATGGTTCACAAAAACATCGCAGTGAGGTCGTGGAAGATCCCCCGGTAAACTCGCCCAGATACGAGCTCGCTCGCTGTAATTATTTCCATTTCATTCTTATTTTATAATATATATTCGTCATCACGCACACACGTAACAACACTGCACATCCCCACGCAACCATTCTCCACCCCCAAGAGCCCATAACAGCCGTCTCTTCACCTTCTCCGCAACTTTGTTTTTCTCCCCTTTACTCTGCTTCTCCTTCCTCTCTCTCTTCGGTGAACTTTTAGCTTCTTAAGTTTCTCTCCTCTTTTCCTGATCTTAAATTTGTCCTCTCTCTGATCTCTGCGCTTCTTATCTTTTGCTTCATCTCTTTCTTCTCTTGAGTCTTCTTCATCATCCTTACTTTCATATATTCTCGTTTTGAGCTTTTTCCCCTCTTCCTCTTTTAAATTTCTCCTTCCTCTTTTACTTTCTAATTTTTAAATCTTTCAATGACTTAACTTTCTCCTGGTTTCCCAACTTCATCTTCCTCCGCTTTCTGCAGTTTCTTCTTCTTCTCCAGTGCTTCTCAGTCTCTTTCTTCGTTATTCATCTCATTATGGAGGTTCCACCAAGCCTACATTTAGAGCCTTCCATGGCTCTCTACTTCTCCTCGATCCCCAACCGTCCGCTGTCCGATACCTTTGGCACCCAGCCCACTGGCTCGCTCGAGCCTGACCTTACTTGCCTCTCGAACTCATTTGAGCCCACTCAAGCCTTCTTCCCAAACCCATTTGAACCCACTCGACCCCAATTTCTGATACCATTTGAACCTACACGAGCGCACTTTCCAAACCCAATTGAACCGCCATCCTCTCTCGAAGGAATTGCTGCAGTGGTGGGCCCCAAAGTACTCTTCGGCCTGACCACCTCTCCTCCGCAGGCCCTACCACGCCGAAAGCCGGCCGAGCCCAGGACGTTCCGGGGAGTTCGCAAGCGTCCGTGGGGCAGATGGTCGGCCGAGATTCGCGACCGCATTGGTCGGTGCCGCCATTGGCTTGGGACTTTCGACACAGCTGAGGAGGCAGCTCGTGCCTATGATTCAGCTGCCCGCAGACTTCGTGGTTCAAAGGCAAGGACAAATTTCTCGATCCCCTCTGCGTTGTACATCCCTCAGCCTCCAGGCGGTGGCAGCAGCTCTGGGCCTATTGAGAACAGGAAGATGCCTGCAGCAGCGAAAGGGAGGAGAAGTTGTGCAGTAGTGAGGTCCGTGGACGAGCTAGTGTCGTCGGCCGTGGTGCAAAGGGAGGCTGGAGGGGTGGGGGGTGGTGGGGTGGGGCTGGATTTGAGGCTGGGGGTTGATGTTGCTGAGCTTAGAGGGGCTGCGCCTGAGTGACTCTCTCTCTCTGCAAGTTAATTTGGGTAGACGTTGTTGGGTAGATAACAATCTCTCTCTCTCTCTCTCCCAGTTTCCTTTCTCTTTTGGCTGATTATTCTCTACTTATCCAAAAATTTTGAAGGATTTTGATATTTAGCAAGCCTCTATGTTCCTAGCTTGTCCTAAGCGTGTATATACGTGGAGCCCGAAGCATTCTGGTCCTCTTAGCCTTAAGGGCTCCTGAATCACATGAAAAATGTGCATGTTTTGCAGCAATTAATGTCAAATAATGGAAATTCTGATATTTTTGCATTGCTTCCTCTACTGTGAGAATTCACATGTTTTTGGGGCCTCTCTCTCTCCCTCTCTCCGGAATGGATGGCTCAGTCAATGAGTCTTGTAGCTGTGGGAGCATCTCATTACCTTTCTTCCTATGACTTTGCTATCTCATTTTTATTTTTTTTGGGTTTGTTTGTTATTAAGAGTACGATGAGTAACGATTGCTTTTCTCTGTTATACCCATTGGGAAGGTAGAGAGAATCGCCCATCCGCCATGGTAAGGGTACCCTGCTGGTTTTGAGTTTACTTATTCCTCGTAGAAAGAATAGCCCAAGAATCTGTTTTCTGGTTTTATTTAGGATGCAAGTTATATGACGACTGGTTTTTATGAAAACAAAGTAAACCCTTGTGTGGAATATTGGGAATCGAGATTAGCTCGATCCTCTCTTGTTGCAGTGAAACCCCACCTACTAATCTAATAACTCAAAAACTCATCTAATACCTCAAAAATTCATACACCCAATAATTGAATATGGTGTTGTACATTTGGGAAAAATAGAAAGAATTCAAGAGAAGTAAAAATTGGAAAGCTAAAATCACAACAACATGCTACAAACCGGTGATCAAAAGATCTATCGACCCGACTAAATCAGGATCGGTCACTAGCTGATCTTGAGTTGGCCCGATTCTAAAGGTTACATATTATGAAATTTTCATACAGTGTACTATAATCGGTCGATTTACAGTGCTAATCGACTCAAATTGGTATATTTATGAACTAATTGATGATTTGTTGTAAAGTACGATTTGTGCCTTGTTAGATTGAAAAATCTATGAATGCTTGAAAGGAAATTGACGGTCTTAAAATACATTACAAGATGGAATATTTTCAAGAATTGGAATCCATTTTTTTTCATGTTCATATATCTTTAGGTTGAGACGATGGATTTGAGGATTTTTGGGGCTTTGAAATAGCCTTTTTTATTGGATTTTTGAGGTGCGCTGTAGTTTAATTGGATGATTAGGAGGCGTACCTTTAACTGCCAAAGTCAAAGAAAACATTTTTTTAATATTACGGAGCGCCCATAGCCTATCGATTTCTTGGCTAACAGTTAGGAATGATGATAATATTCTTATTTCAAAGATAGATAGTCTTGCGTAGAAATAGCTTGTGTCAATCATTTTATTAAATTTATTTTACCAATTCAATTGTTGGGATCTTCCTTCGGGATTCAATTTCTACTAGTTGGTCGGCCCTGGATTTTTCTCGTCCTGCTTCCGACGCGTGATGCCGAGTGCGAGAGAGAGGAGAAAGGAAATACCCTATTTGAAAAACCACTTCCGAGCCCTCCCACTCGCGTTCTAGAGAGTGGAATAGGAGAGGGCTCGTGTGTGTGTGCATTACGCGCACCCCTTTCGAAGTCGCGCATGTGTACGAGTGAGAATGACTCTTGTGCCCATAGGGATAAGGTTCGGATGGTGCGGCGTGCATGCGGTTTGAACTAATAAAAGAAATTGTGCGAGGTAAGGCTTGCCTAGCCTGGTAGGGATCGGGACACACCCAGGCTCGAAGCCCTCTTATATCAGTGAGAAAGCCCCTCGATCACTGAAGGCTCAGTTTGGATTCGGCTCCCTTGCACACATAGGTACCCACTAGATAAAATAGCTCAGAATGCCATCCCCTTTCACTCACCCTTTCTAATGCGGTCTTTAGGGGATTTTTTAAGGGGTTTAGGAGCCGACGAGAGATAGAAGATAGAGTAAAGGAGAGTAGAGCGAGATAAAATAGAATAGGGAGGGAGAGTATGGAAAGATAGGATAAAGAAAGGGATAATTACTTGGGAATTGGGTAGCCTTTTGGCATAACCTCTCCAAGGAGGTATTTACCAAACGACATAGAAGGTATCGAGCTCAAAGCCTCGATACCCAGAGGATTCACAAGAAACTATGCTGATCAGGTAAAGTTGAACAGGATGAATCTCGGAAGAGCCCCCTTGAGATCAATAAAAAGAGGGATAAGAAGGGAGAGAGGTAGAGAGAAGAAGAAAAAGAAAGAAGAAGAGAGAAGAAACCTCTCATGTCCTACACCGGTGTCGCATGTTCCTCAAAGTAGAGGCTAACAATTCGAAAGATTATAGGAGAGAGAGGGGAAGTGAATGAGAAGATGTAAAGAAATAAAGAAAGAGAGAGAGAAGAAACCTCTTGTGTCATAGACCGGTGTCGTATGCTCTTTGAAGAGGAGGCTAACAGCTTGGACGATCGTATGAGAGAGGGGAGGTGAAGGATGGAAGTAGAGAAGAAGAAAGAAGAAGAGAGAATAAACCTCTCACGCCCTAAACTGGTGTCGTATGCTCTTCGAAGTGGAGACTAACAGATCAGATGATCTTAAGAGAGAGAGAGTGGAGGCGAAGAAAGAGAGTGTAAAGAAGAGAGAAGACAAGATTAGAATGTGAATGAAAGAGTGTGTGAGTGTATGAGTAAATGAGAGAAGACCGAGAAGGCAGTGGGGCAGCAACTAACCTGTTGTCCCCACTTAAAACCTAAGAGAGATGAGAGTGGGGGTGAAAGAGTGGGGGTCGAAGGCAGTGGGGCAGCAGCTAGCCCGCTGCCTTCTTTGGGACTTGAGGAAGATGAGAGAGAAGAATGGAGGAAAAAGGGGTGGCACTGGGGGAATGTCTAGGCCGCCCCACTCATTTGGGATGTGAGAGAGGTGAGAGAGAGAAGAGTGGAGGAAAAAGGGGGTGGAAGTCAGTGGGGCAACATCTAGGCCGCCCCACTCCTTTGGGACGTGAGAGAGATGAGAGAGAGAGAGAGGGGGGTAGAAGCTACTTTGCTGTCTTGACTTAGAGTGTGTGAGAGGTGGGTGAAAATAGAGTGAGAGAGGAGGGAAAGAAGGATGGAAGGTAGTGGGGCAACGGCTAAGCCGCCCCCCTTTTTGGGATGGGAGAGAGAGAAGAGAAGACGAGAGAGAAGCAAGAGGAGAAAGAAGAAAAAGAAAAAAAAGAAAGAAGAAAAAGAAGAGAGAGAAAAAAGAAGAAAGAAGAGAGAGAAAGGGACCAATTACCTAAATGGGCATGGGCTCGAACCCACCGGTTGGGTATGCTCTCCATGTTCCTTAGAAGGTGAAGATACTTGGAAGGAGGGCTTAGACCCTTAAGTGAAGGTGTAGGGCTAGATTGGGTTAGGTGGGCTAGGCTAGGTTGGATTGGGTAGGCTAGGGTGCATGACTAGGTCTGGTCGCGTATGCTAGGTTGGGTTGGATTGGGTAGGCTAGGTTGAGTTGGGTAGACTAGGGTGCATGGCTAGGTTAGGTTGGTTAGGCTAGGTTGGGTTGGGTTAAGTAGGATAGTTTGGGTTGGGTTGGGTAGGCTAGGTTGGGTTGGGTGGACTAGGATGCACGTCTAGGTTGGGTTGGGTTGGGTAGGCTAGGTTGGGTTGGGTGGACTAGGGTTAGGGAAGTGTGGACTATGGTCTAGACTTGGGTTAGGGTGGTCCAAAGTTATTTTCCTTTGAGGTACAGTTTTCTCTCTCCTCTCTTTAGAGCAAGAAAGCACACACATACTCAAAGAATACGCTTAGCACGAAGTTCTTCTTAATAATTCTTTACCCTTCAATACACCTTTCACCTTCCTAGTTACAAATGAAATGAGCAAGTCCTTATATAGAAAGTGCCCCAAACATAGGTGCATGATGGAAAGTAAACCTAATTGCTAGAACATACACAATTTTTGTAATAAAGCTGATTTTCGTTTTTGCCAAAATATGATATTTTTGTCCCTTACAACTTTCACCAAAATGATTAAATAGTCCCCAAAAAGGGGCCTCATGGTTTACTTGTTATTTGGGGATATTTTGGACGTATTTTGGTGAGTTTTTGGGCGATCAATCACCGTAATAATGACCGTCATGCCTTGGGGATCATTTTGATATCCATTATTAGGGTTGGTATGGAGTTTTGGGTATATTCTCAAATTCCGGTCAAGCCCATAAACTTGCAATCTTGGACTCTTGATCTTTCTCGTTCTTCGTCGTTTTGGGTCACTTTCTTTATCATAAATTGATGGGAAGTGGAATTTCGATCACCAGAAAATGCCTCTTTTTATGCTCCACAATAGAACACTTTCCGGGTTTCTATTTTGAAGAGTACGTACTCAATTCGAAGCTCTCTGAGCTATGATCGCAATAGATTAATTCGAAGCTCTCTGAGCTACGATCGCAACGGACCCAGCCTTGAGGCCATAGGAGTTCAGAATCTAAAGTTATAAAGCCTAGAGTACGAAGATACGCGTCTGTAAAATTCTATATTTTTGTGGATTTCGGTGATCTTCTTTCTAGGTTTTCTCCCAAACTTTAAGGTCTCATGGTGTGTGCCACCCTCAAATCGAAGGGTTCGATGCGAGGAACAACATATCCGAATTTGGGGTTGATCCGAATTGAGATGAGAGAGATTAGGGCCTTCAAAGTTTCCCATTTTTAGAAAAACACAGTTACTATTTATAGTAATTGGTTGAAGAAGATGAAGTGAATAGTAAAACGTTCACTGGTTTGGGAAGTAGTAAAACTTTTACTAGTTTTGGGAAGTACGACCTAGAAAGGTTGGTATGAACTGAAATTTAGCACAGAGGCTGTTCTCGGCTTCTCGAATCCGTTGACAGTGGTCCTATAGTCATTAGAGGTCTCTAAAGTAGAGATCCAATTATGGTGTATCGTATCATGTTAGAAACTTTATCTTTTTAGTA